GCATTCATTCCTCTAGATAATTCTCCTCAAAATCCTAGGATTTTTCTTTCCTGTTTAAAATAATATGAATTATTCTTTGTAAAATATTGCATTACTCATGCAGAATGTGTTGTGTGCAGTGTGCTTTCTGTCATTCCTGACCAGAAATAACCTCTGATACTCAAAGAATTCCTTAAATGAGATGCAACTCTACTGAATTTACTGGTAATTAGCAAAACTGAGGAATGCAGAAGGGAAAAGTGAGCAGGATTAATCACTGTTGCTTAGGAAGGAATGGAAAATTCTTTGCATTTAGTAGGAACAAACTTTTTAAAAGTAAATTTTCAGTTGGTAGTGTTGAAAAGGCACCTTCAAGTTATTGTGTGTTTATACAATGTGTCTGTTTAGTTTGCACAAGAATAGTACTAGAAATGTAAAAATGCAACAAAAAAAGCACATCTGGTTATTTTAATCCTGTCTGAAAGAGATTATCAGAATCTACTAAAACCACAGCAAAGATTTCTGTCCCACTGCTTAGTTTTTGGTAGCTTTAAGAAGGTAGCTGAGTGTTTGATTTTTTGTTAGAACTTCACAAGATTTCTCAGTATTTCTCTTTTATTTTTTCTATTTGTCTCCAAAAATCAGATCTTTGTTTATTAATTCAAGATTTCTTATCCTTTGCAATACAAAATCCTGACAACAAACCCACTATGTTTTGTGACCTATAGCCCTTAGCAAGGACTTCAGCATCCCAGGTTTGTCTTCAGGGTTGTGATGTTCCACTGCATCAGCTCTTGATGGCTCTATGGATGCCTTTAATCTTTTCATCATGAGTTCAGAGGAAGTATTGGGGTTTAAATTTGGTTTGCAGGGCCCTGAAAAATAAGGCTTCATATGGGGGAAAGGAAGAGTTTCTGTGGTGAGAACAGCCTTACTCCCAGCCAGACAAATATAGGTACTGTCAGCTCAATAGTCTCAGCTTCCACCTTTGAACACACAGAGAAAGATTCTGTAAAAGTCACCACAGAAAACACAACAGAGCATTTCTCAGCTCAAAACCAACACTTGGAATTACACCAGGAAACAAATTAACAATGTCTCTGAGGTCCAGCTCCTCGGATGTGCTGTATCAGAAATGCCACTTAGCAGTAACAGAACTGACATTTCCATGTGGTTTCTTAAGATAACTTGATGTAAAGCTTGTTGTGGCAGCAACCCATTACAGAGGTGAGCAATTGTACTCTTAAAGAGAGGAAAAAACCCAACAAAACCCTAAAAATTATTTTCCTCCAAAAAACACTATTGCAGCTAATATGCTCAGGCTGAGAATAAAAGTTGTGCCATGTAAAATTGTTCCATGACAACACCAGCACACGGGCTCTGCCACGTCGGTACTGCAGTGTCTTCTCAGCTGGAATGTTTTTGTGGTGTTATTCCTCTCCACCTTTAAAACTGTACACAACTATGAGGATATAAACAGGGAGAAAATTCAGTTGCTCAGAAAGGAAAGTTGTCAATCCATCTATTAAATCCTGTCACTTCAGTGTCAGGTAGGAGGGGCTTTCCTGCCAAAGACACTGAAGATCATCTCCAGGTACAATGAGATGAGCCTGATCCCAACAGCAAGCTGGTATGAAATTAATGTTATACCTCAAGGAAAACTATAAATGTCTGTGGTTTGAAGGCAAGGATCAGTTATGGATTCCCCAGCAGTGCAAAACTTATTTTTACCTGTTCGCGTTCAAACCAGTATCAGTTTAGTCCATTCTCTGCACATGGTGACATTCTAGTATGCACTGAAAATAAGAAACCCCACAAACATACTGTCCACACATTACATTTTCACTAAACATGTGCTTCAAATGTGCTTATCTATGACACAGACAAATTTGTGTTGTGCCTTGGTAAAATTCACTTTTTAAAATCAGTGGTTCTGATTAGCACACAACTGGCACGGAGCTTCTCCCCTCTCCCTGTCTCTCTTTTTTAATCTGCTATTGGTCCAAAGAGTAAAAATTGTATTTCTTGATTCCTCTGCATGATGGTGAATTTTACCCTCTTTTACACTTCTTTTCTGGTTACTAAACCAGAAAAATCACATAAATTCAAAATTAGCCCAGATATTTTCCCATTAGCATCACACATTCAGCAGGACAGGTTGTGCACCTCAAGCTGCACAGATATTTGGTGGGTTTGCTGATTTTGGGTTTATGTGGCTAAACATTCTTCAGGTGTCCTTTTATACAACCTATCCTGGTGTCCATACAGTTCCTCACAACCTTATTGATTGATTATTTCTTTCATTCTCCTGTAAGTGAAAACTAGTGGTTTTGCTGATAGCATTTGCTAGAAAAATGTGTTTTATTTTATGTGTCTTCTTAGAAAAAGTTGATCTAATTTATCTTTTCAGCAAGTAGGTGCTAGGGAACACTTTTTAGGGAGAACATAATATTTCTTTGTTCCATTTGCATAGTCTAAATAGAAGAAAAACATATCCTGTGTACTTAGTATGTGGATATTTCATCAAGTACAAATATTCTTTTCTGACATATTTAATAACTTAAAATTATATGATACAGGGTAAGGCAACCCATGTTGCATAATGCCTGAATTCTGTCACATAATTCACTTCATCTTTTCAGCTCCAATATTTTAGTTTATCAGAAAGGAAATGGGGGAACACTGGGAGATGAGAATAAGCAGCTTTTTTCTATTGCTGCTTTAGTACAAATATACCAGAAATTTTTGGAAGCAGCTGGTGCAAAGGGGGAAAAAAAAAGAAAGAAAAAAATATCCCTGAGTGTGCAGAGAGGATTCAAGCCATTTTACTGTCCTTGCTTGGGTAAGGGAAGTCGCTTCTTTATTTAACTATTATTTCTCTTTTCCAAATAAATATGAGCTGCTTCTAAATAGGGTGATGATAGCAGGTGGTCTCTCAAGCAGAAATTATTTTCAAGCTGACAAGTACACTGAGCACAGTATAACTACATGTATTTCAGGAAAACATCATGCACGTCTGTTTAAGGATTCATTAACATGGTATAGATTAAACCCATTGAAGATGGCACAGATTGTTTCATTTTATTACATTCAATTGGATTGGATGTGTGCCATTTGCAAAGAGCAATATTACCACAAAAAAAAAAAAAAAAAAGAAAAAAAGAAGTCTGGCACATTTGTCACATAATATTCCCCTATTGAGAATGAACTGTTTCTGAACATCAAAAGGTAAAAATCTGTTTTCCCCTCACCCTCTGCCATATTAACCACAAGAAAATATGACTGCACGTCTTGTTATGAAGCATTTGAGCAGCACATTTGCCGTGCCTGGAGCCACCTCGTTGAGTGGAATAGGGAGACCTTTGTGCTCTTCATGATGCAGGGACTGGAGTTCATCAAGTTCACCCCCAGAGCTCAGAGCTCCTGCTGTCCCCCTCGGACATCCCTGTCCCCCAGAACCCTCCCTGCCACTGGGGATGGGGCAGGGGTGCCCCGGGAAAGGGGAGCTGCAGAGGCAGCCAGATGAAGGGGAACAGCTGCTGTTAAAGAGAGGATGGTCAGACAAAGAGGGAGATTTAAATTCATATAATGTTGCAGTTTATAAAGTGAATACTTTGGACATCTGTTTAAAGTCTAGTGTTCTAAATGGATGGGAGCCTTCCCAAGGCAGAGCTTAGGAAGCTTTATCTGTTACATGAGGCTGCAGATTGTAAAGATATGTCTTAATCAGCTGTAGCTTGGGTCTTTTAATATTGGAGTCAGTAGCAAAACTCAAAAAAACATGTACATGGGAAATGATGGCATAACCAATGAAAAAAGAGATGGATTAAAGAAGGGTAGGTATATATCCTAAATATACATATTATAAGTACTCCTTTTCATTCCATACCCTTAAAAAGTCCTTGTAGTGCGTGTGTGTGTGTGTGGAGGGGAGAACAGAACAAAAGCAAATTCGCTGTCATTGGTTTGTATCTAAACATTCTACTTTAAATTGGACAGTAGCAGAGTTGCAGCATGTTGTATTTTCTACTTCTGCTGGAGGATCCATTTTAAATATATTTTTATGCCATCCCTTTTGGATTAATCTACATTATTTTTCAGAACTGAGCTTCACCTATATTTATAGCTTATATTATTACCATTACTATTTGTTTTGCTGGTTTATTTCTCATTGTGTTTGAAGGGGAATTCAGTTTAATTAATGGTTAATTTAGAAGAGGACCATGTAATAAATGTGTTTTTGGAACTCAAGTCTAGCAGTCAGGATGAAGTAGCTTTTATTTTTGTTACCAGTTGAGGTTATTGATACTCTAACTAAAAGATTGACAAACACTGTAGGTAAAGTATGATTTGATTCATAGTGTACCTCCAGTGAGATGCACTGAAGAGTTAATTTATTTTATTTTATTTATTTATTTAGTTATTTTGTGGTGGTGCTGCTGCAGTTGGGACTCAGCTGTTGTTTCCTCTGGGATTAAACAGCTGTCAGCATTGTTAATGACATCAAATTCATGCATTAAAATTCTCTCATTCCTCTCCATATAAAATGTGGATGTGGAAAGCACTGCCATATCCCCCTTTGTGAAGGAATGAAAATCCAAGGAAAGATAACAGCACTTATTACAAAACCACAGACCGGAGCTTCTGTTGATGGAATCTCGTAATGAGTAATTAAGCTACTTTGCAGAAGTCAGCGCTGTCACGTTTGCAATTGGGTATTTCCATTCCCCTGTGGATACAGCTGGGAAAAGACTACTAAGGTGATAAAAAAAGAAAAATAGAATTGCTCTAGAAATATCATCTTCATGAAGCCGGAGGTTTCAATGCAAAGTGGCTATGAAAAATTAGCCTACAGAAATAACCTGTCTGGTGTAAAAGACATTCCTTTAAAAATTCATAACTTATATCATCTGATAAACAAAAAACAATGAGGTTTTATTATCCTGCAGTCTCACAAGGATATGACAACGGCAGGTTTATTTCTGGGATGGGGTGGTTTTCTGTCCTTTTTTTTTTTTTTCTTGAGCCTTTTGCTCTATAAATGAAAGTTTTCAACTCTCAGTTCAGTTCTGTAGTTCTGAAAGCATGTTATGGGAAGCTTGTGGCCTTTGAGGGGAAATTATCTTTTCAGGGGAGAAAAGAATTGAAACATATTTTTTTTTTTTTTGCTGTAAAGTTCAAAACACTACTCATGCTTTTAAACTGATATATAATTCTTATGCCCCTAAGAACTCCAATTATTAAAAATAGTCCTGAATTTTCACTAGTTTGAGTGTCCCTATTCTCTTTTTAGTTCTTTTCTATGTTTTTTTATGGTTTGTTAAGCAATTAACTTACTCTTAACTTTCTTCTTTCAAGTAGCTTTGTTTTTTTAGAGGCAAAAAAATTAAGCAGAAAGCATAGCTCTCTGAATATCTTTATCCTGCTTCCAAGAAGTTGCTTTTGTGCAGAAGTACCCTGGTTTTTTTGTAATATCCTCATATGTCAGCTGTTACAGTGAAATCAAATTAAATTAAGCCAAATGAAGAAACCAGCCTGTTAACAAAATGAATTGATAGTCATTTACTGAATTCAGTAAAATGTACTGGAATATAGAGGAATAAACCAGTTAATTGATTAACTGGCTTCCAGATCAGATGGTGAAATACGAGTATCTGATGAGTCAAATTAATATGTGTTAAGTGATAGCTGGAATCTCTAAAACATGCTATGCCTTCTTAAAAAAAGGTTCTGTGAAAAGCTTAAGTATTTATTGTTCCAAGGCCATGCATTTGGGAAAAACTCCAGTTTATTAGCAGAGTGGTGGATGGAGGTGAAGGCACAATTTATTTTCTTTTGGTAGCATTTTGTGAAATGCTAACAATGGAATAAGCACTCCACTGTATTAAATAATACACATGAACATGATCACTATTATAAGATGGATTTATTTAGCATCCTGGTTTTCAGTGAGATCCCTACATGACTCCCAAATTCAGTCAAGTGTGGCACTGGTTGTGTCAAGTATCTTTTTGTAGTTAATTTAATCATGGTTGGCTCAGAAATGGACCTGTGGAGCTCTGTAATGTTAATTTATACATCGTTCTTCATCATTACAGAAAATGTGCCCTTCTGGAACTAATGCTTACTAGTTTTATCATTAATGTGCCTTAATAATGTGTAAAAATATTTTTTCCATTAGCTTGTATTTTCAGAAGAGGAAAAATAAAGAGACATAAATTGGAAACATACTCTTATGTTTACCTGGACTGTCAGCAGGCCCTGCAGGTTCTGAGGTGTGTTGTGGTCCAGGAGATGGAGGAGGGAAGCTGTGAGTGACACTCAGTCCTTTGTGTAAATTGTCTTGGAAAAGGAAAGGCTTAAGGGACACTCTGGGAATGGTGTCAGGAAGAAGTGCTTCAGTTCTGGGAGCAGAGAGCTGATCCTTCCCTATAGTCCCTATAGCTCTTCCTCCAGATGTGTCACAGTGTCATCTTTTTAAATCCTGGGTGAATCAAGACAGGTTGATAGGGTATGGTGGGAAAATCTGACAACACCATCTACAACCAAGAAACCATAACCCAGGGCGTGCAGAAGAGGTTGTGTTTCCTTTCCCCAGCACAGTTGCAGGTGTTCCCTGTCCAAGTTCTACTGCCTCTCAAAGCTGCCAGTTACCAAAGGCATTGCCGGCACAGTGGGAATGCTGTCCTGATCCAAGCTGTGGGGAGAGGAAACTGCTCGTGGATGTTGTGGTGCAAACACCCTGTGTAACCCAGGAGTGCAAGCCCACCCTGGCCAGCACTAGGAAGGGGGCTGATGTTTTTTGCCTCCCCCTGTGATTAAAATTTTCTGTAATCTGCTGTCCTTCCTTGAGTAGCACAAGTGTAAAGCCTATCTATCAAAATGATTTTGAGTCATGGCTTGCTCCTTTCAGCTATCATACTGTTCCTTTCTTCCAGTAGCTGTTACAGTGCTGTGTTTTGGATTCAGAATGCGACCAACATCTCTGGAAATCATTCCATTTCGTTACAGACCTGAGGGGAGAGAGAGAAAAGAAAGTGAAATATGTCTTGATTATCTAAATTGATGAGAAAGTTCAGGAAATGCTGAGTAGATATTTGGTTCAGCAATAGAAAGACCTAGAACCCATTCTGCTGCACAGAAAAGTAAAGCATGAGTTTTATCCCTAGTCTTTGTGACATATATGAGACAGTCTAAGCCTTTTTTAAGTTGTTGATTTGAAGCCAAAGAGGTGTAAAATGAGGAATTTGGGACTGTGTATGCCATGTCAGGTGAAAGGAAATTATTTCCAAATGCTTTCACATCGAGCCACTAAGTCCACAGGAAAAAGTCTCTAAAAATCACACTTTATCAGACAAGCCCTATTAATTAGGGGAATAAGTCTAGGTAAAAAATATTCACAAATAGTTGAATAACTGTCAATTATTTTTTTCCTCATACTTAGCAAGGACCTACGTGTGGGAGTGTGCCCAATTTGAGTCTGTGTATTTCTTCTCGGTGGATAATATAGTAGTTGCAAATCTTTCATTATCTCAAAGACCTGCATTGCTCTGAAAGATGTATATTTAAAAAGATGCTGGCAGTAACTGCTGCTGACAACCAGCCCTGTTTGAAATAGACTCCCTCCGTGGCACTGTGCGGGGAAGGCTCCATACATTGATCTATGGATTTTTCATTTGCTTTCAAATAGTCCTACCCGTGTGTCTGCAAGGAGTGAATAAGCAAAGTTTGAATCAGTTTGGCTTTGGAAGCATGATTCTGAGCAATTACCTTGGGAAAATACACCTCCTCCCGACTAAATAGATCTGTCAGGAGGAGCCGGAGTGCGGCGTGCAGCCCCTGGAATACACGTGTGCGCTGGTAAACCGAACCCAGCCAATTAAACATCAAAATGTTGGCTGCATTCAGTTCACAGGAAGACTTATGTAAGTTCATTTTCATAGCGTGTGTATGTGTCTTTAGACTCTAACTGACAGATTCCCACCGTGAATAGGCTGGGGAGATATCAATTATCTGGTTAGCTGTGCGCTGCCATTCTATGCTCCGTGGCTTTCTGACAGAAGCGGGCAGAAAGCGAGAGAAGCAGAATAATTCTGGTTCAGCAAGGCTGTTAATATTTCAGTCTAGGAACCTCAAATCGTTTTAAATAGATGGAGAAAATGGTCATTTTAAGCCTGACTGCTGCAATTTCTTTTATTAAGAGCGTGTGAAGTGCTAATGACTGTTTCACCCCAAAGTAGGAACCACAGGATACCAAGACTGGGCATTTGGGGGTTCAGTAATTTGTAGTCTAATATTAGTTTGAATCATTCACCTCTAATAGCACCAAATAACTTTTATCTAATTATCTCAATGTATTTTATAGAGCAGTCAGTTGTATATACAAATCCACGTGATTTGTTAGAAAATAGCTACTGTATCCATTGTCATGTGCATGTTCCAAGCATAGCCTTGAGTTGTTAGGTGTGAGACTGAGGGACTTTTATTGCTGTTGTTTTCCATCCTCCTGTGTGCCTATTTGGTAGGACGTTTATGTTCATTAAATGTTTGCAATTCCCACAGCAGCACGTCACATACTGCTGCTGCCTGGCCATCACCGAGGTGGTGCTGGGCTCCTCACAAGGAGCCCACATCTGATCTTGTCAGGGTGGCCATCACAGCCATTACACTTGTTAAGCAAACTAGGCAAGGACCCAGGACACCAATTTCTAATGGACAGTTCCTGTATCTGTCACATCATCTTTCCTCTCACTGTGGGCAACTCTTAGAATTCAAGGAAGATCAGTAAATAAGCCAAGTATGAGCAGACTGCTGCTACAGAGAAGTGTAATGAGAAGGTTTGGAATGAGCTGTCCATGGATTCCTTTTGCACAGCGCCCTGACTTCAATCAGTCCCTCTGAAATGCTTAAAGACTCCTTGTCTTTTAAAAGACACATTGAAATTTGGTTTTCTTGGTGGACTTGTGGATGCACATGAATGGATTAATTTCCATTTTCAGCCTAATTTTTCCTATAGCTTTTTTGCTGTCTGTTTGTTCATGTTTCTAGCTGAGAGTGAAATCAGTCTAGGTATTGAGTTTCTAGGATGAAAAACTATAGGTTAGGCAAATTCCAAGATTTCCAGGAATTCTGCTGTACTTTTTTGCTAGAGCACTGTATGCCATTATGGGTGTAGGAATGAACATATATAACATGTAATAATGCTTGGTACCATCATTGTAGGGGCTGGAGTATTAATGACTGTCTTGTGTATCTCAGTTAAAGCTTGTTCAGGTTTTTAATTCTCCACATCACAGTGTTTAGGACTCCCTACTCTTTTGGGGAATTTTTTGGCCCACAGCTAATAGTGAAAGCAAGGGGGAATAAGTCTTTGGCTTCACAGAGCAAATCTGGAGACCAATAAATAAGCTGGATGCACCACAGCACCTCACATATCTTTAATTTTTAGTTTATGCAAGACATTTCCTCTCAATAAGAGGCACATCTCCCAAGAGACACCCAATGAAAGACTCATTCACCACCCATTTGCTCAGGACTTTTTCCTCTCCTTCCTCCTCTTCCTAATTTCTTAATATAAATGCACATTTCCCCCTTTTTTGGGGGGGCAGCAATGTAACTTTTGTAGGATAGCGAAGCGTGTTCAAAAGGCACATTTTCCAGGCGTTACATTTGATAATTTCCCCGAGATAGTGGAGTTCCCTCCCAGCAATGGGTTGTGATGACAAAGGACCGGGTTTGTTTGCAGGAAGCGAAGGATAACGGAGCCTAAACTTTACCATTGGTGGCGGCGGAGGGGGCGAACGGGAGCCACGGAAAATTGCTTTTTATAATTAAAAAGGGAATCTCAGATGTTTTATATCTTGAATATTTACAATAAAACCTTCAAGTGCTTGTCAAGAGGGTAATGTGTCATTAGCAGGAGCCTTTGCCTCTCTTCTCCTCTCGGACATGACAGTGCGGCAGGATAAGAGAAGAGTAATTATAGTTCAGCAGGGCTGCCAGGTGTGATAAATGGGTAATCAGCACACAGGAGCCCCGGTCCTCAAAGGAGGACTATTACAGCGTTATCAGCTGCAGGCCCGCGTGTGCGGCAGCATCGCACGGCGGCCGAGCCGGGCCCGGCGCTGCTCCGAGCCCTGCCAGCCCTGCCCGCTCCTTTGTGCACTGCCACCGCCAACACAGCGGCGCTTCAGGGGCTCCAGCTGCTCCCCTCGCCTTCGCTTTGTGCTCCCATCTCCAGCAAACGCTGCCGCTCTGCAGGTGAGGAGGCGCGCTGCTGCCTCCCTGTATCCATGGCAGGTGATGCTGGAAGCTCCACCGTGTATCCATGGCAGGTGATGCGGGAGCTCCACTGTGTATCCATGGAAGGTGATGCTGGAAGCTCCGCTGTGTATCCATGGCAGGTGATGTGGGGAGCTCCACCGTGTATCCATGGCAGGTGATGCTGGAAGCTCCACTGTGTATCCATGGCAGGTGATGCTGGAAGCTCCGCTGTGTATCCATGGCAGGTGATGCTGGAAGCTCCGCCGTGTATCCATGGAAGGTGATGTGGGGAGCTCCACCGTGTATCCATGGCAGGTGATGCTGGAAGCTTCGCCGTGTATCCATGGCAGGTGATGCTGGAAGCTTCGCCATGTATCCATGGCAGGTGATGCCGGAGCTCCGCTGTGTATCCATGGAAGGTGATGCGGGGAGCTCCCCTCCATGCTGGTTTATTTATCCCCCTGACAGAGGATTTTGACCTCTGTGCTCGCTTCTCCCGCTGCCTTTTGGGCTCGGCTGCGCTGCGCTGGGGCAGAGCATTCTCTCACAAACAAACTTGGAGATATTCCTGGCGGTGCCGAGGTCTCCTCGGTGTTGGATCACACGAGCAGAGCTGCGGCTCTGGCCGTGTCCTACCCTGCTCAGCATGTGCTGCTGACGGGATTTATCTGTTTGTTATTGCTGCTTGCACATCAGAACCGAGTAAAGCGTGTGCTTAACATGAATCAAACCCCCATCCAACCAATAAGTGCGACATTGATCCCCTCCACTTATTTATTTCCTTAAAAGTTCGGTGCTACCAGTGGCAGCACCATAATAGGAATATTTAAAAATAATTCTTAGAAATAATTCCTGTGAAAAAGTGAAGATGCTCTAACTATAATAAATTGTTATTAAGGGAAAGGACATAACGTGCCTTGGAAAAACTGGAGGGCCAACACTTCTGATGCAAGGTTATTTCTACAATACTTGCATTTTTATCGGTTGATGTATTTTAACTGGAGCCCTGACAATAGTCACAAAAAATTATGACTCTGGCATGGAGCTACTTATCTGACAAATGCAATGCGAATGGTCTTGTTCTTATCAATGAGATCAGATTTCAAAAAAAATGAGTACGAGGGATGAGGCGTTGCTTTGTGAACAGATAACCTTGCAGGCAAACTCGCAAACCTGAATAAAAGGATGTCTCTATGAAATAATCTGTGCATAAGTGCAATCAGGTCAGACTGTAATAGACAGCGAGGGGGGTGGAATCAAAAGGGGGAAAAACTCATTTCATCACAGTTAATGGCAAGGAAAAGAAGGCAAGGAAGGACTTTCTTTGGAGCGGAGCTGTTGCGACAAAGACCAGGGCTTCAGTGTGTCATGCACCATTTGCTGGTGCACTAGCGCTCTTTTCAAGAGCTGTGAAGCCATTATTGTAATGTGAAAAAAGTAGAAAGAAATACTCCCTCCTGGTCACTGGAAGGGCAAATGAGGTGCAGGCTTTTCTTTTTTTTTTTTTTTTTCTTCCTTGTTTTTTTTTTTGTTTTTTTTTTTCCCTACACTGTTTGTGCAGGGAGGTTTCTAGATTCCCCCTGGTAAAGCTCCACTGGGATGCAGGAAAGATCACAGTGCCCTTATAAACAACACTTCTTGGCACTGTTTACCTTCTTTTGTGACTTTGTTGCCTGTGAAGGAGGATAGGAGTATCAGAGGTCCAACTGCAATGAACATTTTCCCTTTTGTCTTTGAAGGAGCAGAACCTTAGAATATTCTCTAGCTGAAGTTTCACAGTGCATTTCTGTGGTTTAGGTTTTAAATAAAAGAAAAACCTCAGTACATTCCTATATGGTAAAGTTATCTAGTGGTGATAATAAATCCAATATTCTGTGGATTTTGTGTGTTTTATTAAAAAGAGAAGAGAAAGAATCCTTTGTTCATTGGCATAATGCAATCCTGTCTCTGAACAGTTCTAATTTGCAAACCAAGTACTTTGTAAATTGTGGAAACCTGGTTATAACTTGAAGGCTGAATAAAATGGGTCATCTTATAACTGAAAGATAAATATAGATGTAAAATAGTGCCACCAATGTCTTTTAAGCAAGAAAAAATAAATAAATAATAGGTTTCAGAACTGCCTTGTTCTTGTATAGTTTATGGGTAAAGCAAGATTACACATACAGCCCTGCAGCCGATTCCCAGGACTGCTAAAGTGTGAAGAACAGGAGTGACATTCTAGTCTTCAATAAATCACTATAAAAATGTTTATGAACCCTGCAATTTACTGTCTTTTAAATGCAAATTGAAAGGGGCATCGTCACAAGTGTAAAGGAGACCTGCAGTGGCCTAAAGGAATTATAAAATGTTGCAAAAGGCTTCTGAAATTGTGTGATCTTAAATGGTTCTATTTAAAAAAATGATTTCCCATTTATACTTCTGTGACAGCTTTGTTAATTTATTAAAGAGATCTCTGTGAATTGCAGGAAGGTGTTTATGGGCACTGTGCTTTGCAGGAGCTGTTCACAGGGGCTCTCAAGGAGCTGCAGTTTAATTTGGCAGGCACTGGGGGCAACTTTGCTGTTCACCTACAAGTATCGTGGAAGGCCAAGGGGGTTCAAAAATGTATAAACCAGTGGTCTTGTCTGACAGATTACTGGTAAAGTGGCAAAATTTCATTCCTCTTCCCAGCTCCTCCATGCAGTCATCTGCTATGAAGCTCCTAAATTGCAGAAATGTGCTGGATGAACAGATGAGCCTCCCTCAGTCCACCATGGATGAAGGCAGACACTTAGGGACATGGCTTAGGGGTGAACATGGTGGGGGTGCTGGCCTGATGATCTTAAAAGTCTTATTGATTCTATGATTCTGAGTCCAAACTGAGTGAAGAGTGAATCATCTTTCTGTGCTTCAGCTATGCTTTCTCCAATGGAAATGAATTCATTTCCATTTATACACTTATAATTTTATCTAGAAAATAAAATCTGCCCTTTGTGGAAGCAGATTTAATTCCTATAAATTAGGCATTAGAGAAGGAGTTTTCATCAGTTGGGTTGGTTGCTTTCTCCTTTTGCATTGATTGGTAAATTTTTATAGTGTCTTTTTTTTTTGTCTGAGAGCCATGATTTTCTGCACTTGGGTGATGTAATTGACACAAAATTAGTTTTTGGTTTTTTTTTAAAAAGAAGTATTCCTTGAGATGGTATGGGATATGAATATGTGCAGTTGGAACACTGTAATTGTTTTCATAGCTTAGAATTCTCCACAGCCTACTTCATCACTTCTGTCTAATTTAATGACAAATAAGCTAGGATGTCCTAGTTCATCCTAACGATGGACTCACATGATATTCATGCTGTGTGTGAGGAGGATGTAAGTGTATCTGGCAGTGGATGATGCTACTCCTGGTTTTCATATCCTTGTACTCCTTAAGAAAAAAGGCGTGGGTATCTGATTTCTGGCAGCCCTTAAGTTAAATGTGCTGCTTTGGCACTGAGTGATTATTTAGCTGTCAGAAATGGTTGGAGAATGGGCTGTCAGGATCCAAAGTCTGTAGAACATCTGCTTGTCTGGCCTGGGCAGCTCCTCAGCATACACATGGTGGAGGATCTTTGGAAACAAAACGATGTAAATAAATTAATTTGGAGGGTGTGTGTATCTGCATGACTCTACCCATGGAAAAATGATATTGCTTGGCTCTATCACGTTGCAGACTTTCTAACCCCTAATAGAGCAGTAATAGTTTACAACTCAACAGTACTCTGTGAATGTTTTGCTGCTCATTTTGTTGTCATGCAAAACTGCTGAAGCACTCTACCTCTTCCTGCAGCCCTGTGTCTGCCTTGTCTTTGTAGCAGAGTTTAATATGTAGGTATCTGATTGTCAGGATTAAAAGTGTTGTAATCCAGTGTTTTCAGACACATGAACTCCTTTGCTGTCTCAGACCTGCTTGAGCCATGGGCTTGGAGCAATCAGGACCTTGTCATTCTGACCCCTCTGTGTCCCTGTGACCAAAGTTTCTCCTCGTGTATCTGTAAAATATTTCATGCTTATTTTCATCAGGTGCTATCAGCTCATAGTTTGGGGCAGGCTTTGGAAAATGACTCAGCTCCCCCCTGTGCATTGCCAATACCCCACTGTCAACACCATCCTGGCAGTGCTGGAGACATTTAGGAACTGTACCATGCACCCATAATCCCACAAGCTTGAAACTTATGCAAAGCCCTCCGAAATCACATCGTGGTCCTTCAGCACTGGGAGGGATCAAAGACTCACCTCTGCACAAAGACTCTCAGCATCACTGGATCAAATGGCTTGTCACTGCCTGTGCTGCTGCAGGCAGGAGGGACAGACAGACAGGAAAGGGATTTGTTAATGAAGAGCATTAATGTGCACCTGTTAAATCCCGTTTCTAGGATGAGACCTTGTTTCTGCATTTTAAGTGAAAGTAATGTACTTGTTTTGTGAAGGGAGAGGAATGGTGCATCTCTGCTGGTGGCTGAAGGCAAGGGCAGATGAACACTTGCCAAGCCATGGTCAGTCTTGGCACGTTGTACTGCAGCCTGGGAGAGTGGGAGTGCTTGTGCACAACAGCTAAGTTTGATTTTCAGGTTAATAACGCAAAGCAGGGCAGAAGACTTTGCATTGTGAGTTCTTGAGTCAATTGCCTGACATGGTGTCCCACCATTAGAGTGCAGGAAATTATCAATTTTTAGGGGAGGTGGAAAATACTTCCTTTGTTCATCTATCCTAAAAGTATGCTTAATGGCTGTGATTCAGAGCTATCTAACATGGTTTATTTCAGAATCTATTAGTCTTTACCAATACCCTGTGTACTTCATGGTGGAGAGAATCCAAGAAGCTGCATCTGGCCTCTCTAGTGAGAACAGGATGCTCTAATCACTTGTACATATCACTTATGTCCTGTATATAAGACTAGCTCCTAGCTGAGCCCTGGCAATGGGGAAGGAGACTGGAGGTCTGTTAAAAGTCTCATGCCCAAACTCAACAAAAGGAAGATTCAGAGCACAGATTGTCCTGTTTCCTCTCATTCTCTCACTAAGATGAGCAAAGGTTGCTAAAATAATGCTGATAATGAGGTTTGACCCTCTTATTACCCTCAACCTCTGCCTACAAACCATCTGCACTGAAAATTCCAGAACTCCACCCAAAGGGTTTGAACTTGGAAACTGTTAACCTTCCAAATATGATGTAGTTTCTGGCATTATTTGCTTCCTAGCCCTTATAATACTCTGATCTTTTAATGTACAATGGCATTCAGTGTTAAACACATCAGTCTACCAGCACCAAGCCATCCTTCCTTCCTTCCTTGTGGATTTGTTTCCCCTCTCTTCCCTGGCTGCCCAGGGGAAGCAGCAGGCAGTCCCCAGTGCCTCTGTGGATGGGCTCTGCTTTGCCAGTGTCGAGCAGTAAATAAATGACACAAGGGCTGTGAGTGGACCTGGGGTAGCTGGGAGCAGCCAGGACTGCCCTGACATCAGTGTCAGTGAGTGATGGAATGATCCAAGCACAGTCCTCAAGTCAGTTTCAGGAATCCAGTCCCTGTTCTGGTATTCCTACCAGGATGACATATCTAAGCTACTCCAGGTTGCCATGACTGTGTGCTCAAAACCTCTCCAAGTTATCCTTTGCCTATGGAGGTGCTCAAGCTCCTTTCTGCAGGTGCAGATTGAAACCACGCTTCTGTTTGCTGTCTGTGGATGTGTGGGAGTTCCTGGCATTTGTTGTCAGGATAGGGATTTGCCCCTCTGTCCTTGGGCAGGATTTTCCCTCCTGCTATAAATTTGCAGAGTCCTGTGTATCATTTCCCTCCTGGCTGCCACCCTGTGCCTCATAAGTGATTGTACTCCAGTGGGGAAGTGATTTGTATGTATATTTTTATAAAACACTTTGGGATCCTTGGGGAAGAAGGTTGTTATATAAATGTATTTCCCAGGGGAAAGTAGTGGAAATCTCATTACTTGGAACATACAGCGTATTTAAAAGTAGGTTTGACAAAACACTAGAAAATAAAGGCAAAAATCCTGAACTGGCACTGGGATGGTCTAAATGATCTAGCAGATATTTTCCATCTCTGAAGTTTGTCTCATGATTTTATTTAGTGCATTGGAAAAAGGGCATGGGGAACGCTAAAGCCATGCACATATAAAATATCTTTCAGGAACACTGTGGCTTATTTTAATATAACCTTTAGCAAAATACTGTGGTTTGCTTACTTGCTGATTTATTTTAGGTAGTTCAAAATATTTCTATTAGTGATCTCTTTGAAATACTTTAGGTGGTGCAATGGATTTGTAGCAAAACACAGCATGTAACTTGAGTGTGCTCTCTGAAGCCAGGTATCTGGTGCCAAGCAAAATTTGTATGTGTAGCTTCTGTTTTAAGCAATTATATGGTATGTAATACACTGTACAAAAATTAAGTGGAAGTACATTTTGCCCTAAGGGAATAGTGTAGCTGTTGGATTTCTTTTAAGCAAGTTTTGCCCCTCATGCAGTAAGGTTCCTGTAATAAATCACTTATGTAATCACCTACAGTATATTAACAAAAATTAAAAAACAAAACAAAACAAAACAAAAAAACAAACAGAAAAGGAAGAAAGGAAATGTCAGCTGGAAACAAATGGCAAAGTAAAGGTTTGTTAGAGTAAGAAAGCACACTCACCTGTTTGGAGGGAAGTGGTTAAACAGGAGCTGAGGAGTCAAACAGAGGCTGCTCTGTGGATGCAGTGTAATGACTTCACTGCAGTAAACTGCTTATGTAATAAACTGCATGGATGTCACTGGAGAGTGACCAAACCCATCCATCTGAATTGTTCCTCAGCTCACTTAAATGAGCACTGATCTTCTCTCTGAAGGGAAAAAATGGGAAAATACATTGAGAAAAGCCATGCAGAGATGTTATGAAATAAAACTTGTGAGGTCATTAAAGACAAGCCTTTCTTGAGCGTGGAGAAAGTCTGGAGTTGTGATGCTTCAGCCTTCAGAAGCTGGTTTTCAGTCTCCAGCCAAGTTATTCTAGCTGCTATTTACTAGTAAAATAGGAAGTGTACAGTGAGTAAGAGCCTCACCTAATTGCCGTATAAATTGGCCAAATGGTTTTCAAGACTGTTTATTTTTAAGAAGTCTTGTTTTGGCTGCCATAGCTAAGATATAGTTTTGTATTCCTTTATAAGATGCAGAAAAATGACAGCTACAACCAATCAAGCTGCATTGCTGTGCAGTATGTCAGCTCCTTTCAACAGACCTGATTTCCAGAATAACCTTTTCCCCCAGACATTTGTTTTCCTTTGATTCCAGTGATGAGACCCAAAGGGATTTCATTCAGAATGCTTGTGGATTCCAGCTTTGGGAAGCCACAGAAAGGGAGAGTGGCAAATCTCAGAAACAAATTAAATTAAAATGAAAATTCCAATTAATCATTTGCAAACTCTTTTAAGAACTGGTAGCAGATTTTTAGAGAGGAATTCAACAATTAGGAGAACATGGTGGTTTCCAGCAGTGCCTTTTGTACATCAGATAATTTACTACTTGTTCATGAATGTCCACTTTTTCCACTCCATCATCTAATTTCTGTTCATGCCCAATATGCAGAAGGATAATTTACCACTGAACCTCTTGCAGGATGTCAGCCTTGCTTACAGATAGGTTCTCCCTTGTGCCCTTGCTCTGTGTGGCCATTTATTTATTTATTTGTCATGTGAGATTTAGAGAGTTTCTTAATCTCATCTTTCACCCTTATTTCCCTACTTAAACAAACAAATAAACAAACAGCTCCTCCCCCAAAAAACTGAAACCAATTAACCAACCAGAAAAAACTCCAAACTGAACAAAAGCTCCCCGACAAAACCAATAATCTCACTTGAAGTGTTTGTTAATATTTACATTCTATAATTTATAAAACACTTCCAGACCTGTGCTGGCAAAGCCCCACCAGTGAGGGGTCAGCTGCCCAGTTGTTACAGGTTTTGGAATAGTTAGAGCTTGCTCTGTGAAATAAAAATTGGCTATAACATTGGATCAGCCTTAAAATTATAGTCTCTGCTTTGTTCCCATGCTCACTGAGCACCTGGGAGTTCAGTCCTTTCCACAACTGCTTGTTTCCCAGCAGGGAGTCCCTCTACACCACCTCTATTCCTTCTGTAATCTCAGGCAGCCTTCCTCTCATTCACTTCTTTTACACTGGAAAAAAATATGCAATAAAGAAAAAGAAAATGTTGATCTCCACAGATGTCAATAGATGTGTTTCAGAAGATTTAAAGAGCCCTTTCCAGTGATATGCTCTAGGGATATGTTTTTTTTGTCAGAGCTTATTGCTTTTAGACCTTTATTTTTTTTTTGTGTGTGTGTTCTAAACATAGACAAACAGATTGCTTACTTCTTTATGTGTTTACTGGGGCTCAAATTGCTGCTTTTAGGATATTCGAGAAGTGCTAGTGATAAGTTATATGTTTTTAATTGTAGTCTCCTCTTGTTCTCATCATTTTGGTTTGAGTAATTCTACTTTTTTCTAACAGATGGTTTGGATGTGGTCATTATTTTCTGTAGTCAGTTCTTTTTCTCCAGTGCTCTTGGTTGAAAAATTCATGTTTATGGTATGAGATACAAGTGACACTTGTTGATGCTCAAGGATCATCAAGAAGAGGCTCAGGGATTTTTAAGCACTTGGGTAAGAAGGTAGACTTGCAGAGAAGTATTGAATTTAGTGGTCATAAAACACATAATTTAGAATTAATTTTATTTTGTATACTACAAATACAGTATGTAAAATCATTCTAATGTAGGATTTAATCTTTGTGTTTTCTAGTTTCTGTGGAATATATCTGATATTATCTGTGCCTCTTTTTGCTCTGCTGCAGCAGACACTGATGACTTGGCAGTAAAATAGTATCTTAAACAAAATGTCTCTTTCAAAAAGTGTTCCTTGAAGATCATAAAATTTTAAATATAAACAAATGTGTGAGAGATACTATTGATTTAGCTCTCTTTTCCCTCTGATCTTTTTCACTACCTGTGCTTCCCTATACCAAAGGCTCTTTTTTCCCAAGGGTTTGGTCTGTGTCCCAGACCATGCTGCACTGCAGGCCAAGCAGAGCATTCCCTAACCCTCATCCAGTGTCTACTCATGTATTGCACACAGAATGTGAAGACCATTTCCAGATTATTAAAAAAAAGAGAAAGAAACAACACAGAAAAGCTGTAACACCTGTGCAATTCAGTAATGACAAGGAGAACTGGAGAGTACCTGTGGAAGACTCCACGCTGAGTGGTGAACACGTGTGGTAAATGTGTCTGGAGCACAAAATGCAAAACTTCCTCATGCTGAAAAGAAATTCTTATTCCCCACAACTAAGGGGAACAACAGTGCATGAGAATATCCTTATTAACTAAGGGGAACAACAGTGCATGAGAATATCCTTATTTTATTTCTAGGAAGTCCCTTTCCAGTACCCAAACATCACTGTTCAGTTTGTGAGGTTTCAGTAATAGCCTGTGTTACGAAACAGGGAACAAAACAATTGGTAGGTCCTGCTTTATCTGAGCCAGGAAGGGAAGGTACCCAATATATCATTGCCTTTCCCTTGGAAGATATTTCAGCTGCCTTCCCCCTTTGCCCTCTACTCTGTGAAACTCAATCCCCTGTGAGAAATTCAAATCTATGAGCATGGCAAGGACATTTTGGACACCAAGCAGCATATTTGCATATTCTCATAACCATAAACATATATTTTTTTTCCATTTGTGCCGTGATGTTCTCCATTCATATTCTAAGTGGCAAAAGCTTTTAGCTGTGATTGGGCCCAGTCCTCAGTGGACAAGAACCAAGTGTATCACATGGCGTTTATTAATCTCAAAAAGTTGTCTTTCAGGACATGTCTAAAAACATATGGGAGTTATGTGAAGCAAAGCAATTGCAAGCTCATTTGTTATTTCAAACAGCTCATTTCTTATGATTTCACTTGTATAATAGATGGGGAGCTGTTTGCAGGTTGTTTGTTGTCATATATTTTTCATTTGGTCCTTAGGTTAAGGAAGAGAAAGGCTGAACTGAGGAGCAGGTGGTGTTACACAATCTGTAGGGTTTTTGACTTCCCATTCTTTTGTCAGATGGCACCTGAAATGCTTTTCAGGCAGTCTTTTAGAGGCTGGGAGTCCTGCAGGGGTCACTGGAGATGAAGCCATCACCTGAGGTGGTGCTCTTGGCATTTGGGGTCCCAGGCTGGCAAAGGTGCATTTCTGTCTGGGAAATCATTTGTTGGGTTTGTGAATCACTGGGCTATGATTCATGATTTTCAGCAGCTTCCTCAGTAATCCTTTACCTGCAATTTCCCTATGATGGCTCATTGTGTTACTTACTCCTCCAATGGATTTATGAGGTATTATTTGTACACAAGAAGATATTTATTCTGCAACAGTGGAATAAAAGCATTTCTCCAAAGCCTATTGTCTCTTACATCAGTGCTCCCTAAGGAGGGAAGATACATCACATATTTGCTGCCTGTCATTTTAGTTTTGGTTTTGTCTTGTACTTTTTGTTTATGTGCTATCAACAACCTTATCCACGTTGAGCAGAATGAGTAATTTTGTGAACTGAGCACTAAGCTGTGGTTTGTGTGGACTCCTTTCCTACCCACAGTAAAATGTTCCTACCTGATGAGAGAGATCCTCTTCCTAATCCTGAGTGTCATGAGGGAAAAAATAGAGGTTATTTAAAAAAATAAAGATATGATTGAGTTGGTAGCTCCTTAGAGGATGATAACACTGTTGCAGACCTTTGAGATCTGTTAGTACCAGGCACCAGAAGTTTGGCACAGAAGAAAGCACTTGACCTTCTTGATGTATGTACCTAGTGATGATTTGGCTGTGGCAAAGCTATTTTCATGTAGTTTTTATCTATATGCCCAAAAAGAAATGCTACAGAGATATTCACTAGATATATTTTAACCTTATAATCCTTTCCTCATTGCTGCCATTAACTTTAATTTAACATAATGCAGGTCAATTTGATGGATTGAGTAGCTTATTAATTATATTTTTTTTGCACCAGGAAAGAACCTGTGAGGTCAGGTTTATTAAACGGGTAGAGAATGAGAGAAACTCACCTGGGGCAGGTTCTGAAATGGGATTTGAGTGGGCTAGGCATTGGTAGAAAGGGGTACAGGGGAGAAATGGGTTTCCTGCATTTGGCACTTCACTGCCTTCACCAGAGCTGGTGGAGTGTGGCACAGACACATCCATGGCCCCCATGAGACTCCATGTGTTAGGAACAGTGGCACTTGCTCCTCCAGCTTCTGTAATAATCACAGAATCATCACACAACAGCCCTGTGGGTTGAAGTGGGTCTATATTTTCCTTTCCTGAAGACATTCTATTTCGCTGGATTTTGTGTAGGAAGGATGTAATTATCACCTCATCTGTGAATCTGGTCAGGACTATTTTTACTTTCTCAGTTGTGTCTCTCAGAAAAATGAGAATAGGATATAATGGTAAATTAACAGTTTATATCCTGGTTTATAGTGGTTGAATTTTTGGTGAATGTTTTGGATTTAGGTTTTTCTTAGTGCAAGGAAGAGTGTACCATGCATCATTCTTGTCTGACACGCTTTGCTGTAGGCAGTGAAGTTGAGTTGACAGTTCAGTGGCTTTTGTTAAGAATACCTGGTCAGAAATACCTATTGCATGCTCTGTGATGGCTTCTTTTTAAAAAGACTAAATATGAAAAAAAGTAGCTTGATATATCATATTCTCACCAGCCCATCTGACATGCCATTGTGTTGACTTTGCTGGGAGATATCCCATGTTTCATCCCCTTGCAGCCTTCAGAGCCGTGTTTGAGGCAGCTC